CTGCCTGTATTTCAATCTGGAAAGAATAATTCGGGACGAGTCAAAACAACCAATCACAGCCAGAGGAGCGTCTGATGGGGTGTCAATCACAGCTCACACACGCTGAATTTTTTTATTGGTTACCCCTGCTTTACTCCATTAGTGATTCACACCTATTATAATATATATTTAAGGCTCAAATGGTCTGATTAAATGACAATTAAACTAACGTTGGACTAATTTTGTATTTGGATCATCAGCTGGAGCCTAAAGATTACTTAATTACTTAAAGTCGAAACTACATAACCTGTGAACATTTTCCATTTAAAATGTTTACCAGTAACAATCGTCTTTAGCGACACCTGATTTAAAGTAGAGATTGATCAAAATATGGACTGGTTGATATTTTTGGGACATTATTGTTTTTGTTGTTTTTCTGCTGATATCTGCTGATCTACATGCATGAGCAGTATCCATGCCTTCATATCTTGTATGATCCCTACATGTTGATGGCTGCTTCCTCTGTCTGTTAGCTATTAAAGGTATTGTGCAGGATTTTTCTTTTTAAAACACCTTCCCTATCCACTTTTAAAAAAAATGCGTGTGTGAGAGCATGCATGAGCCCATTTCTCCTTGTGCACGCTGTGTTTAACAGTGTCTGTTCTCGTAATCATAGAAGCTTAATGTGTCTGAACGACTACCCTAACCCCTTAATTCCTCAACCAATATATAGAGCGGTATATGGTGGACTTTATAGTGAACTCAATTAACTGACCGTTCAGACAGTTGATCACTTCCCCGTTGGTCCACTAGGAGGTGCCTGTGCCATCTTTGTTAATTTGCTCATAGATTTTTTTTTTTATTTTTATTTTTTATGAGACCTTTGTTACAGTTACAGTACGATATCTTAATGGTTATTGTTATATTTTCATGTAAATGGAGAAAAGAAATGCAGGATCGGTCAGAAAATATCCGCAGCACATATCTGGGATCGATTAGACTGATGTTAAAATGATCAGCATCAGCCTAAAAAAAAAAAACAGTTTATCTCTAGTTCAAACTCTGTGAAAAACAAAAAATAATCATCCCTTTTAGCATTTTTTTCCTGCCTATTTGTTCTTTATAAAGTCAAAGGAATTAGTCAGTCCAGTTTTGATTTATGTTTTAATTTTCCAGGTTTACCCGGAGCTGCAGGATCCATCTCAGGCCTGTCTGCCTCGGTCCTCCTTCCTCACCTGTTCCTCTGATAACACCATCAGGGTGTGGCACTCCGACGCCCCCGCCAGGCACAGGAACCTGTACAGCCAGGTGAGACGGCTCCCAGTTTACCAGAACCTTCTCTACCTGTTAAAGTTTCTTATAGTAAAGCGATCAGCAGTGATTCTGTTCCAGATTTAAAACCTCTGTAAACAAACCTGCTGAACATTCGGCCCTCTGGTTGGATTTCAGTCTGAGAATCAAAGGTTTCTTTTTATTTATGCAGTAGAAACGCTGAACAGTAAAAGCTTCGAACTTGGTAGTTTTGTGACAGTTTTATTTTTTTCTTTTGTTTTAAATATTTCAAACCTGCTTGAATGAATCAGACCAACTCTGCAGCAGATCAGCCTCTTTTCAGACCTTTAAATCTCCTCTTTACACCTGGGCATTCATCATTGTTTTCATTTTCCATCTGAACATGAATATCCTTAAACGACCTCAGGAGAAACGGAACACAGAAGTCTGCTTCACCTGCTGAACTGTATTGATACTGCATTGATACTGACTCACAGAATACTGACACCTGCTGGACCTTTAAAGACACTACAGGCAGCTTATTTAACAGACTAAACTGAATTGATTTGATGACCTAGTACAACGATATCATTGAAGTTATTGTTGGTTATATTGTATTATTTCATATCTTTGTTTAAATTTCAATATCTTTGCTATTTTTAGATGCAGCCAATAAAGGTAAACATATGATTATAACGTGAAAATTGAATGGAAATGTGAATGAGGATGTTTGTGGACAAGGATTTTATTCATAACTTTAAAACAAAAAGTACATTAAAAACTGTAAATAAACTAAGACTAAATTTGAAATTAACTTTAATTAAATTTAATTCGACTGAAACATTCCTACAAAAAATTCTTCATAATTTTAAAGTTAAATCACAAAAAATCAGACATTTTTTGAACAGATGCATCATGTTGACAGATGCGTTTTTAAACACAGTTTAGTGAGTCAGTTGGTTAGAAACGACCTTTTGAATCGGTCCCATGACTTTCATGAAACGACACGACCGATCCATTGTTTTGCTCCATGGCACCGACGCATCGGTGTTGCTGGACCAATCACTACTGTTGATTATCACTCCACTTCATATGTTTCCCATGCTAGCATGGTATTTGCTCTGTCAACATGTTACGGTTTATGCTGGTTAGTCTCTCCATCTTTGGGCACTGGTGTTTTTGGTTATTTGTCAGTGAAACTACAGATTCCCGCTATACTATTTATACACTTGTCGCCTCTTTGGAAGCTCTGACTGCCTTTTATGAAAACATTCAGTTTTAGGATTTTCAGCACATATAATCATATTATACACAAAGGAGAGGAGATTTAGCAGAACACCTGTGTCGTAAAAACAGCTTCCACTGAAAATGAAAATAAAGTGACATCCTCTAGTTCTAGTTCTAACTGGCTGAAAGGGTTCTGTCCAGATGAGGGAAAAGGTTCTGCAGCTCTAAGTTTGAGTACTGTGTTTCAACAGAGGATGATGATGATATCATCTCTCCAGCTTCTGTAGCACATCTGTTCTAAGAACAGAAAAGTTTAACCTGGTTCTGTTTCAGCCTTCCTGCAGACAGAAGCACCTCCTTAGAGCTCCAGGTGGATTTATTCATCGGTTCTGTGTTTTCCAGGACCTGCTGAAGATCCTCTATGTGGGGGAGGACATGCAGCACCTGCAGACTTCAGGGGAGAGGGGGGAGACTGAGGGTCCTGATGGGAAGGCAGGAATCAGAGTGCTGGGAATCAGTCCCGATGGGAAACACCTGGCGGCCGGAGATCGCTGTGGAAACGTGAGGTCAGATTCTCGTGTTTTGATCTTTTTTTTTTTTTCCCGTTGGAAATTGAGTTTCTGCAGCAACATAAAACTAATGTTTGTTTCTTATTCTGCCTTTAACAAAAATGGATGCAGCTACTGAATAAGTTCTGCCTCAGCTGTAATGCCTCATAGAAAACCAACAGCTCAGAGGATAGAGCTTAAAGCTTTGCTAAAAGCAGTAGCTTTTAGTAAGGGTGTGTACTCCTGTGTCTATCACCCACAACGACACCAGTTGAATTCCTCTCAGAAACAGTGTCAGGACGATGGATTTTTACAGACGATAGAAAAGTGTCTATATTGTTTAATTCTATTCTTTTGTTTCTAACAACATTTAGTCTCTTTCCCAAGTTAAACGACTATGACGAATGTATTGGTGTAGTCATGTAGCCTAGACACAGCTTATGTAAGAGATAAACAAGATTTATTTATTTTTTTAGTCCACAAAGAAGCATCGTCTTGGGGTTTTGCAGCATCATGCTGCTTTACGGCTTATGACTTGCATGCAGGTTTGTGACATGCTTTACGTTATTTAAAGGAAAAGTCCGGTCAGCAAGGAATAATCAATGAATCATTAGCTATTCCTAAAACTAATCCGTTCACAGTGATTTAATGAATTTAGCGTTAATCAGTAAAAAAAATAAAAATAACTGCGATCAGGGCATCATGGAGCGGCCATTTTTGCCAAATAGTAACACCTCCGTCCTGACATTTTCCAGCAGTAACGTCACGTTGCGGTAAGCCTAGCGCCATTCTCTCCACTTTACAAACAAAATCAATGGGAACTACCGTAATTTTCGGACTATAAGCCGCGACTTTTTCCCCATTTTTCGACCTTGCGGCTTATATAACAATGCGGCTTATCCATGGACTTTTACAGCTAATGGCCACTATGGTAATACGGTACCTAAATCTATGGATTTTACAATCCACCATGTTGACGTCACATTTGCTTCAACACACAAGTAGCCGCATGCACGGGACTGCAAACGTCCTCCGGGAAGCAGAGTCCGAGAAAGACGGACATTGCGAACGCAAGACAGTTTGTGTGACACCCTCATTATGGAAGACAAACTTTGAAATGCGTATGATGCAGCTTTTAAGTTAAAGGCAGTCAGTTTGGCAGTAAACGAAGGAAATGGAACCGCTGCACGTAACCTTGGAATCAACAAGTCAATGGTGAGACGTTGGAGACGCCAGCAGGAGGAATTGTCTCAATTCAGTTGTGTTGAAATGTTAATAAATAGGAGCTTTCCCAAACAGTCGCCGCTTTCCTGACAATCCTCTCTGTGCACGAACCATATGGTGATTAAACATAATAAAACCTGCGGCTTATAGTCCGGTGCAGCTTGTATATGTACAAATCATGCAATTTAGCTTCTGCAGCTTATATTCAGGTGCGGCTTATAGTGCGAAAATTACGGTACTAGACACATCTCTAATCAACAACAATTATTGAAGATTTCCAGAGGACTTCACCATTGAAATTCACCAGAGCTATAGTTAAACTGACAATGCCCACGTACATGGCAGCTGGATGTTGGAATACATCTGGTGAAAGTGAAAAAAAATGTGTTGTTTCACCGCTCCTATTAATGATCCTCCATGGACGGGTTGGTCGTTGGATTGCCATCTTGAAGAGAGACGATTTGCCATCGAACTTCTGGCCAGAGAAATAACACGTAATATGTAGCCAACATTTGGAAGAAGAATGTTTTCAAGTTGACTTGGATAATAGCGCGTTGTGAAATTTGGACTTGATAAACAGCCGATACCGCACCGTGACGTCACAAACCAGTAGGTGGCAGTAGTGTTCTTTGACAAACATGGATGCCTCCAGTAAAGCACATTCAGATGAAAATTACTCTTAATTAAAAACAATCATCATTTATTTCACAGGATGTTATAATTTTATATTTAAAGTAAAATATTATAATTTAAAATGTCTCTGGACCTTTACTGGTTGTAGATTTTCTTTATTCAGACCCAGCTGTTTTGTAATTGTCCTAAAGGATGTGATGAGACCAGCTCAGTGCAGAGAGGTTCCTCTGTAGTTTTCAGCAGCAGGCAGCCGTGTAGTTCTGACAACCCCCCCACACACAAGTGTAGCTTACTGTCAGATGAATTCACCTTGTTCCAGGATCTTTGGTCTGGAGTTCCTGGATGAGCTGGTGAAGATCGAAGCTCACGACTCCGAGGTGATGTGCCTGGAGTTTTCTCCTGCATCCACAGGTAGGAGCAGCAATGGGAGAAGCTTAACCCCAGGCTCACACCGACTCCGGTCTTACCGTTGCGGTGCGGTGGGTGCGGCGCCGCAGTGATTCCAAGTCATTAAAAAGACGTAAACCTCTCTCACCGGCTGCTGAGCTGTCCGGCTGCGGTTACCGAGACACTCCGGCGCTGCAGAAAATTCCGCAAGAAAGCTATCCTTGCGGCATGCCGGAGCCCTCCGCAACAAGCTCTCGCAAATATCCTTGTTTGGGCCGTGTTATCGCGTGAAGTTACGTGAACTCAAGTGAACTTCTGTTAAATCTCCGGACCTGTTGCCAGAGCCGCAGAGCCGCACCGCACCGTAGTCAAAAGGGCGGTGTGAGGGGGGGTGTGCGGGAGTTGCGGTCTCCGTGGGCTCGGTAACCGCACCGGAGCCAGTGTGAGCAAGGGGTAAATCTGGAGCAGCTGGTCCCAGCAGTCCCCACACGGCCCATCGTGGGACAATGTTTGTGTTTCAGGATTGAAGATGTTGGCCTCAGCCAGCAGGGACCGACTGATCCACATCTTCAACGTGGAGAAGAACTACAGCCTGGAGCAGACCTTGAACGACCACTCGGCCTCTGTCACTGCTGTCAAGTTCACAGGTGAGGACATGTCGAGGGGGGGGGGGCTTTGGAGGTTCCGTCGGGTCTGGATGGATTCTAATTGTTCCAATGTTCTCATTGATGCTCCCTGTGCTCCAGGTGAGAGTCCGGAGGTCCAGATGGTGAGCTGCGGTGCCGACAAGAGCATCTACTTTCAGACAGCTGAGCAGGTGTGAAGCAAATCTGAGCTGAACAGACGGTACACTGACGTATGCTCGAACTGGAGCTGAACCGCAGCAGGAACTCTGAGCTGGATCCTGCAGAATGAGTCTGTGGGATCCAGATGGGGTTGTCTAACCGGGTTCCAGAGCTGCTCTGTGGAGCTCTAAGATTTATGCCTCCATTTATTTTCCCTCACCTTACTTGTAGTGGATAAACATGTGGTAACAGTTTATCACAGAAGAGTGGCAGAAATACGCATTAATATTTACTCATACCAGGTTTTCATCAGGGTCGGGCACAAAATGTGCCATTTGGGTCAGCTTTGCACTGACAGGCTTGGATCGGGTTGGCCTTTCTGGGCCTGATCTGTTCTCTAATGTACATCTCCTTCTCTGCAGCAGAAATTTAAACCCTCTGACCCAGTTTAGCTGCAGTCCACAAAAAAAACATGAACCTTGTTGCTTCAGTAAAGTCCAGCAGATCCAGACTTTGATGAAAAAGATGAATATTGGAAATGTTTGCAGCTTTAAATGGAGTAAACTGGATCCATGTGGATCAGTAAACTGGATCCATGTGGATCAGTAAACTGGATCCATGTGGATCAGTAAACTGGATCCATGTGGAACCGACACATAGAT